TCACTAGCCTGGCATCATACCTCTAGACCACCGAGCTTGCGCCTGATGGCCAGGGTTGAACAACTTGCTTTTTTTCCCAGTTGTTTTCAAATATACTGAGTATTCGGTGCATTCCCACGTCAGGAGGGCAAAATTACACCTATACATGTTTCTCCTGACGCAAATCCAGTTATTGTCTATTATTCCATCACGATAGTAATAACAATTACTATCAATAATAACAGTGCTCAAAAATGAACACGGGATGTTATACTGTAGTCGTGTTAAGCACAGCCCCTCAACGAAATGTTCCTTTATTCAGTTGCATAATTACCAATTTGAGAGATTTGCAATTCGCGAGTGACAACACCATCGCCGGGTTTCAGGGGCGGAGCCCCGGTGGGGTTTGATGAGGTGCAGCCCTCCCCCTGACGCTCCGACGATCTGAGCATTAAGCTGTTAAAACGAATTCAGGTCACCATATTGTTCGGTTCTCAGAGAATGTGAAACGAGATAGCTGGAAATTGTTCCGATTACGTAGGAAAAAGAAATTTTCTCGGTGAACTGATTCTCGAACGAGATAATGAAAACTCTCATGGCATGGCCGTTTTTATATCTCTAAATACCAATTTCTTCAGTTTCTGAATTCGTGATAATTCGTTATCACTCATAGACTTGTGCTAAATATGATCACATGTGTTTTTGTGTTTATCCAAAATCACGATGAAATGCGGGACCGTCCCACACGATGCGAGGCGGTTGGCAACTATGACTCAGTTGTATGAAAAAAAAGTGTCTTCGGCGGGATTCGAACCTGCAGTCTCTCGCTATCAAGGCGAGTATAAACAGAAAATGTTTTTGTACCCTCAGCTTGCCCCCTACCCCAGAAAAGAAGAAAAACCATAATTTGTGGGGGAGAAAAAATTATATAAATATTTTCTACATATTAGTAGACTATCTATAAATAACATCGGTTTACGCCTCTCAAACCCCTAAAGTGTCATATATTTCCCTGGACCGCTATATCGGAACATTTTAAACGACACCCGACCACGCCCACTTTGCTCTCGTCAGGAATCTTTCCCACCCAAAATCATACCTTGCCCCTCACTTCCCCCCCCCACATGCCCCCTCCCCAGATTTCACACGCTGGCGCCTCCACTGAGTATATATCATTAGACCATAGAGACCTACTGTATACGGCCGACCAAGGAGGTATAAAATACCTCCTTGGGCAGACGCACATTTAACCCGTAGACACTTTCTTTCAAACAACTACCGGTAACGAACCCCGGATCTTCTCCTGTCTATGCAGATGACTTAATCAACTAGGCCTTTGTGGCTTGACTTGAAAATTGAATCAGATTGCAGGCAATTAATTTCGCACTATACGGTATGCCGATAACACAACTAGCGTTGGAAGCACACAAGTGGAACAGATAGCAATAGGAATTTTTCGCAAGCTTACGAAACTTCCTTAATGTGATGTATGTGAAACATTAATTAATTAGTAGATAATGCGTTTAGTTTAAGTGTCAATCGCTTATGCATCCATATAAGGATATCCGAATACAGTATCAAAAACTATCCCAAAGCTCTGTCCACATTATCAAATTTTATGTGACATATTTGGGACATCATTATAGCTATATATGGGTACACCACACAAATTTGTCGCATACAATTTGATAGTGTGAACATGAGCTTGAGACAGCATGAATCAACTTTGCAAATTGTTATGTTTTCCTTTAGCTTTTAAACCGATATTTATTTACAAAGAGAATATATGAAAATAATGAGTAAACCTACTTAATACACCTAATATTCAACGTTAATATTAATAATTAATCAATTTAACATAATTGGATTGATAAGTAGTGAATGAGGGTCGATCAAGTTCCCTAATAAGCACCGAGCTACAGTAATATTGTTTTTTCTTCAATTTGCGGTATATACTGACTGATCTAGCTCAATGCCTACTTGTAAAAACATCAACATCAGTGGCGCGGCTGCGCGGCTACGGGGATGCGTGGGAAGGCACACCCCCGGCTTTAAATAAATACTTCCACTCCCAGTTTCTCCCATTAAAATTATTCGAGCAAAAAAAAAAAATAAAAAAAAAAATAAATAAAAAGAAAATCACGCTCAAGTAGATGGTAAAATATTACTACAGTCTGCCAGCTAGTGCCTCTCAATCATCGATCCCCCACTTCACATTCAACCCGCCCTCCCCACCCCCAATTGAGACTCCCAGTACTCCACTGATTAAAGCTGTTATTTCTCATATAAATGAGAGGCACTACACCCAAGCTGTGGTGACGTGTAAACATGTCCCACACGCAAGCTGCGACTGTTCATTATAAAAATGATTGTATGAGGCCTGAATTAACTACGCCTCGCCACTATTCATATTTGATACGATTAACAGAACCCCATTTTGCAACCATTAATCTGCTACGCACTTACCGACGTCTGAACCGATGTTGGACCTGACTTGTCCGGATTCACTGGCATTGTGTACAAATGACAAAGTATAATACTTGATGCCCTTACTGCTATTGATAAAGGCCCTTAAAACGAAATGCTATACCAACGTTGATCGTACAACTGATACAGCTTCAGGGTGTGTCCACTGCGAACCAACAAATGAATTCCAAATGCTACGATTATCCCACAGTTATATAGAAAATAAAATCGTTTTCTGTCGAGCAGGCGTATACCTTTAAACCGCACGAATGAGATTGACAATACCACAAGGCTATTACAATGTCAAATAATAGAACTATCTTGACTGGTACACTGTTTGAACAATGACATAAAATCTCTCGTGTTTGAAGTGGATATTGTTATGCATATTTTTTTTACACTTTTGTTGTCCTTTTTAACCAATGAGAGATTTGTTCTCGATGGGCTATAAAAATAAATGTGCGAGAATACTAGTTACCAAAAGGACGCATCATGAATAATGCATGAACTATTAGAATTATAAATATGTAATGAAAGGGATTTATGGTGGCGTAATTCAAACATAACCAACGAAGGTTTGTAGACCATATAATGCGGGAAATTGAAATGTTAACCAGACAGGAAAACAAGTAAATATGTTTATAAAAAATGCCAAGTATTGTAACAATCTTGTTACAAAAACGAATTTTTGCCTTTCATAATAATATACCACTTATCATTTTCTATAATATCCCAACGATTATAGAAAGATTATTTTCTCTCTTTTGTGTGGCAAACCTACATTTTATTCATAATTGTTTTCAATATCATATTTTGTACAATAAAATGATACCGTACTATAATTATAATAAAAAAAGAAGAAAAACCGACTGAAAGCCTCTCTGTTCTTGGAAGCATTTCACCTTGTCGAGTGCCTTTGAACATTAATAATAATAGTAATAATAATAATAATAATAATAATAATAATAATAATAAAATAATAATTAAACAGGCATTTTAGAGCGCTCTATACAATAAAGTCGCAGAGCGCTAGTTACAGTGTATAACTCAATTCTCTGAGAACAGGTGGCATTTCAGTTGTTAATGGATGCCGGCGTTATATAAATTCATTTGATTGATTGCTTGATTGATTAATTGATTGATAGATTGATAAATTGTATATAATCAATGCAAAATTGCTTTTACAGTATTTATCGTATATTTTCTTTAATTGAATACCGGCATCTATCTAAGTCTATTTATTGTTTTTATGTGGATTAACATTTCATTTCAATACATTATCACATGATTTGTTGCACACTAATCATTAAAAGTATAATTATAGCAACAGCACCTGTATAGTTATTACCTGAAAATACTATAGCTTTTTTTTTGACTTGAATATTTACCTCTGCTTATTTTTTTTATTTTCTTTAACGGTATCACTTTTTTCATTAGCTGAATATCTTATTTTCATTTCAATACATTTTCACATGATTTGTTGCACACTAATCATTAAAAGTATAATTATAACAACAGCACCTGTATAGTTATTACCAGAAAATACTATAGCTTTTTTTTTACTTGAATATTTACCTCTGCTTATTTTTTTATTTTCTTTAACGGTATTCTTCACTTTTTTTTCATTAGCTGAATATCTTTCTAAGCTCATTTATTGTTTTTATGTCACATACATTATTGCACACTAATCATAAGTATAGTTATAATTATAACAATAACACCTGTAAATAGCTTTTTTTCTTTAGTTGAATATCTATCTTTTGTTTTTTATATGAATGTACATTTAATTTCAATACATTATCTCATTAACCATTCAAAGTATAATTATAACAATGATACATGTATATTTATTGCCTAAAATAGTATTATTTTAGTATTTTCCTTTAGTTATATTTATTTATAGTTTTTATGTGAAATTACATTTTATTTCAATATATTATCAAATGGATTGAAAAAGCAGAAGTTCGTGGATCGAAATAATTATGGGAACATATATTTAAAAAAATGTTTATTATCATTTTGTAATTATTAGCAGAGAAGGGAACGAAATATTATTTCAAGGGAACGAAATAATATTTCGAGGGAACGAATTAATATTTCGAGGGAACGAAATAATACTTTGTGAGAACTAAATAATATTTCGATTGTTCCCTCGAAATGATTTAGAACCTCAAAATAGTATTTCGTTCGAACGAAATATTGTTTCGTTACCTCGAAATATTTCGTTCCCTCGAAATGTTATTTCATTCTCTCGAAATATTTTAATATTTTTCCTAACCATGTCCCATACCATTCAAGCTAATCCAATAAGACCCCACTCTCACTTCAAAAAGTGGTTTGAGAGATATTAGACCATGATTCTTAATGCAATTACATCGAGAAAAATTAAATTCAATATACAGGGTGTAGATGATGTATGCTGCTATCATAATAGGCCTATCATTAATAAAGTGCTCCACCTTTTTTAATGGATTCTATTGACGCTGCCGAGGAGTCACTGAGGAGGATTTCCATTGTTTTCTTCCGTAAGACATGACCTGCGTGCGATTTTTTTCCCGTACGAAACATTTGCATGAAACTCCACTCGGGCCGTCTCGGATTGACTCGATTCGAGTTCGTTAAGAGCAGGCGCTTCACAACGTCGTTACGCTCGAGTATTCTCTATTACTGTATTGTTCTTTGTTTAGGTACGGTAGGCCTATTAAATCTTACCGATTTATGTGATGTACGTCTGTAATTAACTGTGAGCTTCTTGGTTTGTTATCAAATGTAATACTACCTACAACAACGGCAGCTATAGTACCACCACCACCAATAGTATAGGTACTATCAATTTAATAAGGCTAGAGCAAAAGAGGCTAACCTAGGCCTAATTGCAGGCTGAGTTAGGTCCTACCTATAGGCCCCTCCCTAGACTACGCCCCTAGCTAAGCTAGGATCCAGGGCCTGACGCAACAGTCACGCGCTTCACATGACATTGACTGAAATTTTGAAAAAAAATTGAAACTAATTAAAATGGGACAGTGCGTAAGAAAAACATTATTAAATAATAAAATTAAATATATCATTTATGAACTTGTCCTAAACCTTGTTAAATAATAATAATAATAACGATTAATAATAATAATTAAATAAAAATATATAATTTCGCCATTAATTAAAGCCCCATTCCCGGCAAAATTTCAATTTTTAAGAAAAATCTAATTTTTGTATAATGTTCTAAAGATTTATAAATATAATACAGAATTGCTAGTTTAACTGAATTTAGACATTCCTAAGAATGAAAAAAATGTAAAATAAGACTGAAATTTGATTTTTTGTGTTC